TTTCCAGGAATTAGGAATATGTCAGAGGTGGGGGTAAATCCTGCCTTTGATTGTGGACGGCTGTATCCGGGTTGGATCTGGGCAGTTTCTGCAGCAATAAACTCTAATTCTTTGCATTCTGGAAGTGCTGTGGGGTGATCCTGCAGCCTGACCCCCCTGTAGCACCAGCACAGGGCATTTTGAAGCCACTTATTACTTTATAAAGAGATTATTTCCTTTATTTTTTTTTCCCCCTCCGGCATCAATCATCTTGACAAGATCTGCTTCTTTTAAAACATACATCCTGCAGCTTAAAATCCAGCCTTTCCTACAAGGGAGATCCCAGTTAATTCATGGAATAATATAGTGCACATACACTATATATCTACATCTATATATATATCTGTATCTATATTTGTATCTATATAATCTATATATGTATATGTCTATATATCTATATATCTGTATAGATAAACCTCGATAATTGCCACTGATGTTCATAAATATTATATATATATTTTTTGTATCTATATCTATCTATATATAATCTATATATCTATATGTCTGTGTATATATAGATAAACCTTGATAATTGCCACTGGTTTGCCTGTAAATATCATATATATACGTATTTTTTATCGATATCTATATCTATCTATAGATATAGATTATAGATATATAAATTATATATAGATATAGATCTATGTGTCTATATATCTATATATATCTGTATAGATAAACCTCGATAATTGCCACTGATGTGCCCATAAATATTATATATATGTTTTTTTTTGTATCTATATCTATCTATCTATATAGATACAGACATAGATATCTAGATTATATTTAGATATCTATATAGATAAACCTCGATAATTGCCACTGATGTGCCCATAAGATATATATGTATTTTTTGTATATATATCTATCTACAGGTATAGATATAGAGATATATAGATTATATAAAAAGATATCTATATATATGTAATCTATAGATACAGATATGGATATGGATATGGATATGGATATGGATATAGATTAAGATATAGATACAAGAAAAATACATATATATTTATATACATAAATATTATATCTATATGTATATATGTATTTTTTGTATCTATATCTATCTACAGGTATAGATATAGAGATATATAGATTATATATAGAGATATCTATCTATTAGAGATATATAGATTATATATAGAGATATCTATCTATATATATAATCTATAGATAGATATAGATATGGATATGGATATATAGTAAGATATAGATACAAGAAAAATACATATACATATATATATCATATTTATGGGCACACCAGCGGCAATTACCGAAATTTCCAAGGCTGCTCTTTGAAAAAAGCAGCTCCCAAGCACCAGGCAGCCCGACCCTGTGGAGCAGCAGTGCCAGAGGCAGCTCCTCTGTCCTGGGCAGAGCCGGCGCCCTGACGTCAGGGTGTTTTTCTGCAGAGCTCGCAGGATGTTGCAGCCGGCCAAGAGCTGTGTTTATGTTGATAACATTACAAGTATTTCCTCTCCGTTTCCGAAACCAGCAGGGAGGGAGCCGAGGGGGAAGGGAGACTCAGGTTTCTCCAGCTTTTTGGGGTAGGACTCTCGAGGCCTTTTATGTTAAGGAGCGGGGAAGGACGAGCTGCTGGCGTTTCTTGATGCTGCTTTTGGGAATAAGGGAGTGTTTGAGAGCAGGGTTGGGAATTGGGAGCTGGGCTGGCACAGCCCTCCCTCAGCACAGGGTTCTTTGCCTGCTCCCTGCTCCAGGTCCGGTTTTAAGGTGATAAAGGAGCTCTGGCAGCTGATTGCCGGTCACAGGAGCGTCTCCAGGGATTTGGATTTTTGGGTGATGGTGTGCACGGCAAGCTGGGATGCTCCCGGCATCCCATTGCTTTTGGCAGTCACAGTAATAAAGCCATAAAAACTCGGGTTCTGCACGGATTGCCCACATCCAGCTTTCTTCTTGGGGAAATCCAGCATTATCTCCCCTTGCCAAGCCCTTCCTCCTCCTGCAATCCACTCATGGATCAATGAACTGATTAAATGTAGAATCAAGAGAGGTTTAGAGCTCCCTGCCTGCTGATGTAATCCCAGAGCATCGAGCTGTGCTGCCGGCTCAGCGAAGGAGGGACCCTCATCAATGGCTGGGCCTGATGAGCTTAAGGGTCTTTTCCATCCTAAACGATTCTGTGATCATCCCACCATCCCAAAAGGGCTTTGCAGCCAGTCCAGGAATCTCCTGTAGCTCTCATCCATGTAGCAATCACAGTTTATGGAAATAAGCCCCAACTCTTTTATCCTTTGTGGGATTTTTCTCGATAGTGGAGAGCAGAGAAGGGATTCACAGCTTTTCCTGCTTTCCTCCCACCCTCTGTGTCCTGCTTTAATACCAAGGGAAAGTGTGGTGAGGATGTGGGGAGGCTCTGGCACAGCTTGCCCAGAACAGGAGCAGAAAGGGGATGAATGGGATCCCAAATGAATGAGGACCCAATTTTAATAGAGACCCTAAATTAATGGGATACTAAATGAAAGGGAATGACAAACAAATGAGATTCCAAGTGAGTGGGATCATGAATGAACAGAACAAGTGAATGGGGATCCCAAATGAACAGGATCCCAAGGGGAGCTCTTGCTTTGAGAAACAAGCTGCAGGAAGAGAAAGGAGCCATATCCAGCTCTGTGAATGGTGTTTCTGTGCAAATATTCATCAAAACACTGCAAGTGGTCACTTTTTTCCTAGCAGTGCTTCCAGAAGAGCCGAGTCTTTCCCTTTCCCTTGCCATTGTGTCCTTGCTGTGGCAGTGATGGGCTCAGAGTGACAGAAGTGGTTGTGATGACGAGACCTTGGTGCTTTCATCACCCCTTGTGAGGTTTTCAGAGCATCTCTGTGCCATCTTTTCCATTCTCTGGAGATTAAGTGTGTCTTCAGCTTCCTCCTGCTTTTGCACATGGGTCCAGTCAGGGTGAGCACTTTATTTCTGTGGGCTTCCTCAGTGGGATGCTTGGACAATCCGAGTTGTGCAGTGAGTTACAAAGATCATAGAATTATGGAATGGTTTGAGTAGGAATGGACCTTAAAAACCATCCAGGTCCAACCCCTACCATGGGCAGGGGCATCTTCCACTATCCCAGGTTGCTCCAAACCCCATCCAGCCTGGCCTTGGACACTTCCAGGGATGCAGGGGCAGCCACAGTTTCTCTCATCCTGTTCCAGGGCCTCCCCACCCTCACAGGGAACAATTCCTTCCGTATAAATATTGGATTTTCTCCCCAAAGCCAAACCTGTGTAGACCAGTCTCATCTCAGACTCTGGCAGGCTGCTGACCAGGCTGATTTTGGGGTGTGTTAATCACCATGAGTGGAACATGTCATCAAACCATCAGACTACTGGTTGTGGGTTTTTCCCGACATCCCACCCTGGAGCACAGCCTGGGGGAGGCATTGCAGGACCAGTGCTGCTCTCACCAGTGACAGGAGGACTGAATCAGTTCAAATTCATGCAGACAGATATTTTAACTGGTGATGAAACCCTCTGGAATGCTGACTGCTCACACCAGTGGGACCCTTGGAGAAAGCCCTGCTCTCCTTGCAGCAGCAGCAGGGCTGGATGTGGACGGAGCCTGTGGAAAGCTCTTATCTCTGGAGCTTGGTTTCCTTCTGGTTCAGGGTTTGTCTGACCTTTTGGTCACTGAGTAAGGTCGATTTTTGCCAGGTTTTCTTTTGGAGGGGAGGAAAAACACGTAAGTAGGTGGTGCTGGTGGGAGGATACTCCCAGGTGGGGTGGGAGGATCTTGTGTTGCTGATACCATTTCCAGTGCATGGATGACTTCAGTGTTGTCCTTCTGCCCAGAGTTTGGGATGGGTCTAGATGAAGCAGATTTAAATAAATAGAAGAAGCACAAACAACACAAGATCTACTAGAGGGGGAGGGAATAAAACCCGTTCTTGGCAGCACCTCAGGCTGATTTGGCAGCGAGATCTCACAGCTCTCTTCTGGGAGATCCTGGAGATGCAACTGGACACAGGACAAAAGCCTGAAGGACGGGAGTCGTGTGGCTGCTGCTGGCCCATGGCACAGAGCTGAGCTGTGCCCAAGCCCTCTCTGGGCTCAGAGCACAGGAGAGGTGTTAGCCCATCCTTGGAAAGCCCCGTGGCCACGTCCTGGTGTGGACTTGGCAGCCCTGGGCTCTGTCTTGGCCAGCGTGACGACGTGTGACATCTCTGGGCCTCTGGATCTGTAGGTGTTTGGGAGGACATAATGATACCCATTTCTCAAGAGCTTTCTGAGATCTCCAGAGGAAAGAAATCACCATAAAAATCTTGTATTAGAAAGGGCTGGGGGAAATTATTTTACTGATGTCATCGTCCTGTAATTCTGCTGGACATTTCCTGGGAAGCACGTACAGTATGGGCGTGCAGCCTGAGCTTGCTGATCTTCTTGGATTATTTGTGAGTGTTTGTTCTGAGCACATACACAGGGAATCCAGCGGGGTTTGAATGGAGCTGGGTGTTCTCCCCCTGCCCTGTAACATTTCAGGTGGCAGTGAGCCAGGGGGATCTGACCTCCCCTTCATTCCTGCCTCCACTTTTGGGGCATTTGGGATCAAGGCTCTTTGCCGTGGTCTTCACTTAAATTGCCTTTGAGTTTGCTCAGAGTAAAGTCGTTTGCAGATCACTGTATGAACAATTTTTGAATCTCCTTTAAGATCACATACTTTAGTGCTCAGCTTGTTCTTCTCATGCTCTCCCACAGTTCACCCATTCCCTGCTTCATCCACGGACACTTTTGCTGTTCCACCAGGCTGGGATTTCTCCGTGTTCTTTCCCCTTGGGGTTGTATGAACTCACCCATAAATCCTTCCCATCCAGATGCCTGCAGGGACTCCAGCCACGCTTCCACTTCTCCCTCTGAGCTTTACAAGAGGCACAGCAACATCCCCACCTTGGATTATTTTGGGATGATATTGCATGAGGCTTTAAATAAGTGTTCTGTGCTTTCCTCCCCAGGTCAACATGGATTTGTGGTTCTTTCTCCTTTTGCTCGGAAGTGGCCTGATAAGTGTAGGTGCTAACAACGTTACAACAGGTAAACTGTGCTCCTCATCTCTCTTTTATCCCCTCTTTGGGATCAGAGGAGGGAGTGTGAATGTGCTCAGTGTCTCATTCCTTCTGCCCTCCATGTAACTGTAACATGAAATGCTGGAGAGAGGGTGATGAGCTTCAGGTGCTCATAAATGGGACCCTCAGGTTTTAACCCTGACTGATATTGATCCTCACCTCCAGGGGCTCTGCTGTTTGTACCTCCCCATAAATAGCACCTAGCACCTGTTCAGGTTATGTTTTTATGGTATTTGTATCACCTGCTGTGCAGAGCATTCCTTGTCCTGCACTCAGGATTTGTTGGGTGTTTTATCCTTATAGTTACAAGTCACGTGAATCTTCAGAACGTAAACCCATCAATGTCACAGAAAAGAATCTCACAGAGGTTCCCCTGTGCTTTTCCCTTCTCAGAGCCACCTCCCACCTCAGTGCCCACCTCCCCCAGGAGCCCCACCACAGCTCCTACAGCAGGTCCTAAGGATGGGACCACACCCAACACAAACAGACTCAACATGAGCACTCCAGGGACTGTTCCTACCACAGCACCAAAACTTCATCCGACCACAGCCTCCCCCAATGCCACCACTGGCAGCCTCAACATCTCCTCCACCCTGGGGACAACTGTGCCTGTGCCTCCAGCCCCATCCCTGCTCCCCAGCGTGACGCCCGAGGCTCCACGCTCCACTGTCCCCAGCACGGAGGCGGAGACGACGGAGAGGAATTTCAGCATGGTGGTGACAACACAGGAGACCTCTTCTGCCTCCCACAATGGTAGGAGCCTCCTCTGCTTCTTCTTCACCCTGCCTATTGGTTTGTTTCTTTTTGCCCTTCTTTTGTTCTGCTGAGCAAAATGGAGCAAAAAAAAAAAAAACCACAACCCTTTGGGGTCAATTCCGTGGTGATACAAAAGAAGAGAACTCCCTGAACGGCCCAGGTCAGAAGAGATTTATCTGACCAAAGGTTTGGGCCAAGATCCTCTAGTGAAAAATATCCACAGGTGCACTAGATGGTCTTTCCTTCCAACCCAAACTATGCTGTGATTCTCTCCTTACATTATCAATTTTCCCCATTACTTGGATAACTTCAATGTCTGAAAGGTCCAGATGACAGAGAGTTGTCTCTGTTGCCATCCTGATCTCATTCTCCTCTTGGCACATCAGGAAAGTGACCCCATAAAACATAGTTTGGCTGCTCAGTCCAGGTTAAGAGTGAAAAATCAGGCAAAAAAAGGCTGAGGTGACCAGAAATCTTTGCTGAGCTGTGGCTCTTCAGTCATGGTTTGCTCATTGTATTCTTTGAGTTTGGGTGCTGTGTGTCTTCAGCTTGCAACAGGAAGATGGCAGTGCCTGCTAGACCTTGGGATTTAGTGGAAAAACGGGATTGGTAACTTGGTTGTGGATTAGAAAACCCTGAAACAAGACAATGGTGGAGTTAATGCAGGGAGGTGTCACGTGTATATTCCTTAAGAGCCACTTTCCCAAGGGATGCTGGCTTTGGGTGTCTGTGCACCTCAGGGAGATGTGTGTGCCCTCTTCCTCTGGGAATCTTTGGAAGCCACAGCCTGTGAAGCTGCAGTGAAGTTGTCTTTGCTACCAGCATAGGAAGGGATGTGGCTGAAGGAAGTTCACAATCTTTTGTAGTGTTCTGCCACTCCTGAGCTCATCCAGCTTCTTTCCCAACACAAATCCTTTTTTGCAGAGTGAAGGAGTCTGGCATAGCCTTAGAAACACACATGGGACAAGTTTGGTGTAGATTTAGCCTGCATATGGAGATGGAAGCAAAAGCCTGAAGTGCTGTTAATATCTGGATTTTGTAATATGATGTCTGCTCGTGGAGGGGCTGAATTTATCATTTTTGTGTCTCCACTGCCTTTTTGTGATTTGGGTGACTGGTTTTGGTGAACTCCTCTGGTGTAGGCCATGGCACCATCCAGGCCAGAAGTGGCTTCTCACTCAATGCCAGCCCAGAGAACAAATGATCAAACTCAATTCTTCCTTCATCTCAAGTAATTTTTTGTCAAGGAGCAAAATCAGTTGTAGGGCTGCCCTTGCCATTAGATTTAACAGGAAATGTTGGTGTTAGACATGAAAGAATTAAGTGTTGCTGGAGAAGGGGACTGGGGCAGAAGGTCACACATTGTATGGGCAGTTCCTCCTTGTCCAGACCCTCCAGGATTGTCCTCAGCCCTGTTCTAGAGCTCTCCACACACAGCTCATGGCCACGGGGTGCCTGTGCCAGCAGCACTGCCCCAGGAGAGGCAGGCTCTGCTTTCCCTGGCACAGCTTTGTTCTGGTGTCCCCTGGAGGAGACATCCAGCCCAGCAGGTCAAGGCTTTCCTTGGATGCTCCTCACCCCCATCCCTGAGCCCAGCTGCTCTTAATTGAAATCTTGGCTCAGCCACTCTCTTAAAATTCTGCACCAGTGTTATCTCTTGATATTTAAGTGCTAATGAATTGCACCAGTGACTTGCTGGTTATGGGTTTAAACAGTAACTTGTGTTTATTGATGTTAAAGCTTGGCTTCAGCTCCTTGTTCTGCTGGTAAAAACTCGGGATTTGTTCCTTTCTCTTTATTCAGAAATTCTTTTTACCATCCTGGTTTTATAGGTAGTGTTTTAAAGGAAAGATTTACAGGCAGATGATGAGAGTTACTAAATTTGTTCCTGTCTTGGTCTTTGATCCTTCCTGACTTACTAAAATGTCTTGTTCCTTTGTTGCTAAGAGACTTTTGTTTTCTTTTTCTGCAGGTAACTCTGACAGAAGAGGTAAGAATGTTATATTTCATTGCTCTTTACTCAGTAAAAACATTTTCAGTAGCATTCTCCTATTAGAGAACTATCCTTAGGACTTCCAAATGTGCTTTTATGAAGCTTCTCAAGCTCTTTAGAAGAGCTGGTGTCACACTGATACCTTAATTTCTGTTGAGCTTTTCTTTTTAGATCAAAACAATCCCATTCCAATTTGTACATGTCCTGTTGGATAAAAATTGTTCCTGCTCTGAGAATGTCAGCATGTCCCTAGAGCTGCTTGACCAAATAAGAAGCCATTCAGAAAATTTCCTTTTTTTTTTTTTTTTTTGCTGCTGAATTGTCTTTATTGACTGTGACTTACGTGATTTGATCCAAACCCATCGTGCAGATGATGGGAATAATTATTGTTCTCCTTCATTCTGTTGGCAAGCAGTAACACAAATCCATTTCTTGTAAGAGAACAGCACTTTAGGGACATTTTTCCATCTCTCAGCTCTGAGAACTGGCATCTCTAGCAGAATATTTGCAATTACTCATGGTTTTAGCACTCCAGGAGCGGGCAGAGCTGGGTTGGCTCCCACCTGGAGGAATCAGCTGCCTCTGGGTGTTTCCATCCTGGTTCTGATGGGTGTTGCAGCTTTGCAAACTCTGCTCCTTGCTGTGCCTGGCTCAGCCAGCCCACTGGTGGTCCAGGGAGCAGAGAGATGCTCTGCAGCACCGACTGGCAGCACACATTTAGCAGAGGGAATAAAAGGGATGCAGGTTTGAGGGAACTCATTTGAAATTGTGGCTGAACCTCTGCAGAAATGCTCAGTGTAATTCCCTCAGATCTGGCCTGGCTTTGGCCTGATTTTGTGCTCTCTCTGCTGTCGTTCTGAGGGCAAAGAAAAAAAAAGGGATTCCATCTGACTTCCTAACAAGATTTATATTCATATTGCCAATATGAATATAAATACAGATAGGAAATCATATTAAATAAAATAAGATTGCTTTTACAAGAGCATAGAGTGATGGGACAAGGGGAAATGGCTTCAGACTGGGAGTAGGTTTAGATTAGATATTGAGAATAAAGTCTTGACTGTGAGGGTGGTGAGACCCTGGCACAGGATGCCCAGAGATTGGTGGCAGCCCCATCCCTGGAAATGCCCAAAGCCAGCTTGGATGGGGCTTGGAGCAACCTGGGATGGTGGAAGGTGTCCCTGCCCGTGGCAGGGAGTGGAGTGGGATGAGATTTAAGGTCCCTTCCAACCCAGACCATTCTGTGACTGGTTTTGTGGGCAGATGTTGCCAGCTGTGAGCAGGGATGGGCTGCTCAGCCCTGTCCCTCTGCCATGAGTGTAGCCAGCTCTGGGAAGAGCCTGCAGAGCAGCTCTGCCTGCAGCTGGGATGTGATCCCCAGCACCAGAGGAGGCTTTGGTGGCTCCTCAGAGGGGCCAGGACAAGATTTAAACCCCCTGATGCCTTCCAAGCTCGGTGGAGTCCTTGTCCCTTTTCCAAGTGAATTGCTGTATGCTCTCATGCTGCTTTAGCAGTGGCTTTTTAAAATTTTCTTCTGCTTTTTCTGAGAGTCAGGATTAAAACACGGAGGAGACAGATTTTTCATTTGGACTTGGTTGTTTATTGAATTTTATTTAAAGTACAGAGAGTTCTTCAGCACTTCTAGCTATTAAGCCAAAAGTGAGAAAATGGAGATGAATTTAGCTGGTTACAAGGTCTTTTAAAGCTAAACAGTCCAATTAAAAGTTAATGCTTACATTATTTATACCTTTGACTTAATAACCAAACTCCTGTGACCCCCAGTGCAGCACTGAGTGTCCAACCAAAACTACTTGAAATCATGAAAAGGGAAGAAGAAGACAGAAAGAGACAACACCTAAGAACCTCCATCTTGTCCCACACTTATTGTATTCTAAAAAAATCCAAATTCTAAACTCTTCACCAGGTAACACCACACACCTCTATTTAACTACACACCAGTGGTTTTAACTGCACCACTCAAATCTGGAAGCCTTCTCCAAGGCCTCAGGTCAAAAGCAGAGTTCCCTTGGGGATCAGTGACAGAAAGCACAGAAAGTTCAAAACTTGCAGGCTTCTGGGATCCAACAGATTGCCAGAATGAAACCCTCAGGCTGTGGCAGGAGCAGGACAGGAGCTGTGGGGCGGGGGGTTGGCACAGCTCAGCAGGGCAGGGATGGAGCAGCTGGGCACCCTCCAGCTCGTTCCCTGCCTGGGCACTGCTGGGTGGGCTGTTAGCAGTGGGAAAGCTCTGACTCCTCATCCTGCCAGATGTGTGGAAAGAATGGCTGAAAAAAAAAAACCCCAAAACCTCCAAACTCCCTGCACCCTGCTTCCAAAGCCATCCCTGCCCCAAATCTGCATCCCACTGCCAAAGTCACCCCTACCCCCAAATCTGCATCCCACTGCCAGAGTCACCCCTATTCTCAAATCTGCATCCTGCTTCCAGAGCCATCCCTACCCTGAAATCACATCCTGTTACCAGAGCCATCCCTGCCCCAAATCTCCATCCCACTGCCAGAGCCACCCCTGCCCTCAAATCACACCTCACTCACAACTCACCAGCCACCACTCCAGCCTGGCTCAGCACTGGTTAGGCTGAGCTTAACTCCAGCCAAGGCAGGAAGAAATGGTCCAATGGTGACTTAACACCACGGGTTTTGGCAAGGAAGCTCTGCTTCCTCTCCTGCAGCCAGGATGGAGATGCTGTGCTCACAAGTCTCAGTGAGAGGCCAGGGCTGGCTGTGGTTGGGCCAAGACCAACCTGTTCTTGCTTTTTGGAAGTGTCAAGATGGGGAATGCCAAGGCTCATCACCTATTGAGGTGTGCAGGAGGCAGAATTCCCAGTAAATTCCCTTTATTTATTTTATTTCCCAATAAATTCCCTTTGGGCTCTGGGAGGTGCTGCCACATTAGTGCAGTAGATGAGAAGGACAAAGACATGCAAAACCAGGATAATTTAATTTTTTTATTCACCACACCGGGTCATTGCCTTGAAATCATGACACAAAAATCATATGTTTTAATAGAAATAACATTCCCAGACCTCACACCACAGAGGGAAAAACACAGAAATATAATCAAAAGTGCCCTTGGGTAGCTCAGAGATGAACAAAATAAACCCCACCTAAGGAAATCTGCTGGCTGAAATTGCTGAGACACATGGAGCAGGAAATGGATGCACAGAAGGTGGGAAAAGGGAAGAGGGTCGTGCCCTGCAGCCCCTTGGGGCTGTGTAGACACAGTGTGGTGGCCCCTCAGATGGAGGGAGCTGATGAAAAATGGAAATAAGCCCAGCTGGCATGGCTGGCATCCACATTTATCTGAGAAAAATGCCCTTCAGGCCCATTCTCCTCCCTGGTTGGAGCTGCTTGGCTTCCAACCCATCTGGGTGATTTGCCAGCACCAACCACTGATTCAGTGACCTCCAGCACAAGATGGAAATGGCTGATTTAAAAGGAAAAAAAAAATCAGTTGTGGGTTGTGGAGGATGGGAATGTTTCAGACTAATCTGTGTTTTTGCAAAGGAATTGTGAGGTTCCTGCCCTTGAGGAGCTTCTGCAGGGGAAATTGGGTCCCACTTGGTGTCCTGGTGGTGTCTGACCTCTCCTGCTCACTCAACTCTGTATTTCCAGGGAGCAAAGAGTAGGAGGTGGGACTAGATGGACTTTGGAGATCACTTCCAGCCCAAATTATTTTGTAATTACAGAATCATGAAATGGTTGGGTTGGAAAGGATCTTAAAACTCATCCAGTTCCACCCCTGCCATGGCAGGGACACCTTCCACCATCCCAGGGAGCTCCAAGCCCCATCCAGCCTGTCTTTGGACACTGCCAGGGATCCAGGGGTGTTTGAACCACATCTTAATGGCATTAAATATTGGTGGCTGTTTTTTTCTTTGTTTGAGTTAGGATTGAAGTATGAGAGATGGATTTTTGTGTTTGGACTTAGTTGTTTATTAGTTTTTATTTATAGTATAGTGAGTTTTATAGCACTTTCAGCTAACAAGCTAAAAGTGAGAAAATGGAGCTGTATTTTGCTCATTACAAGGTCTTTTGAGGCTTAACTATTAAATTGAAAGCTAATATTTATATTATTTATACTTTTGACTTCATGACTAAACACTTGTGACTTGCAGTATGGTACTTTACTAAAAATTACTACTAAAAATTAAGAAGAAGAAGGAACAAGAAGGAAGAAAAAGACAACACTCAAAAATGTTTATTTTGTCCTATACTTACTACTATATTTTAAAATTTCAAATGTTAAACTTTTCACTATGTGACATTGTATACTTATATTCAAACTACACACTAGAGATTTTAATTTGATTACTTAAATTTGGAAGCCTTCTCTAAGGCTTCAAGTTAAAAGCAGTGTTCTTTTGAGGTTTAGTGTTAGAAAGCACTAATATACAAACCACCACAATTCCTTATCATATTGTACCAAATTCATGGGCCTGTTAGGAACTTCCCTTAAGTCTCAGGCAGAAAATTTTATGGATTATCAGCTGACAGAGGAAATTCCTGCTGGTGGCTGCTGAGCCACCAGGTGCATTCAGTTGTGCAGAAGGAACCCCAAAAATATCCCAGTGCCAACTTTCTCCATCACTGTTTTCATCTGCAAGGTCAGAGTTTCACAGTGACCAACTCTTGGAGAAGACTGAGGTGCTCTGAGTGGTGATTTCAGGTTTTAATCTGACCTGGGAGTGTCTGAGGCACGTGATGCTCTCTCATCCTTTTTCTGTCTTCACTCTCAGACTGCAAAAACGCAGCATCACTTAATACTATTTATTATTTATTATGTTTTTATTACTAATATCATCATCAGAATTGTTCTTCAAGCAGAAATTGTAGAACTGTGCCCTGTTAAATGATGGCTCTGGATGTTTTCCAATGTCCATAACCACACCTCTCTCTTCCTCTTGCAGATGAGACTCCCATTATAGCTGTGATGGTGGCCCTGTCCTCCCTCCTAGTCATAGTATTTATTATTATTGTTCTGTACATGTTGAGGTAAGAGCTGCTTTACTGTTGGATTCCCTTGTTTGACAGAAACAATTCCTGAATGAACAGGAATGAGCCTTTTGTGCTGCCTCCCAAGCTAAAGGCTGACACAGCTGGTGCTTTGAAAAGAAACCTGTAAGGGCAATGAATGAAAATGATGTTTGGGGTTAGCTGGTGAATGATGCTTATTCCTTTCTCTGCAGAGCTGCTCCTCGTTTGGGGAATTCCTGTTCTGCCTCTCAAAATGTCACATTTAGCAGGGTAGATTAAACTGAAACCCTGTCAGTGTGGGGAAAAGCAGGTGAAGTTGCCTTGTGAGGCTGCAAATGATGGACTGAGTAATCCAGGGAGGCTGAGCACAGCCACAAAGTCCTTTCAATGTGTTATTCCCTCATTCCCATCTTGATAGCAAGCAGGATCCAACATCCAAACTCTGTTTTGGGTACTAAACCTTACATGGTCCCTGTGCACCTTTCACTGTGAATGGCAGGAGCTTGTTAGGTGATGCTGTAATTGGAATTACAGCATAATAAAGCCTTCTTTGTCTTGGATTTTTTAGAATCCGAGCATCTGCTCTTCTCAAAATGAAGCATTCCCAGCTCCTGAAAGCATAACTAAGAATGCCTTTATTCACCTGCAGGAAGCATTTTAATTTACTCACCAGTTTGGTGATTAAGTAAGTCTTAAAAAAAAAAAAAGAAAAAAAAAGAAAATACCATTTCCTTAGCAGTGGAAAACTTCCCTCTGTCTCCTGGCTCCAGGCCTGCCCTCACAGCAGTGAACCTGAGGAGAGTTTTGCCTCAGGAGTTCAGCAGCAGCGTTTGAGTCCTTCCCACCTGGCTTCCAGCCCTGAAAAAAAGGGTTTGTGTTGACTGCCCAGTGATTCAGCAAAACTCCAAAATTCAGGCAAAAAGGGATCATGAGCAGCTGCTCCAAGTTAGAAGCACATGGAGCAGAGATTTGCTGCAGGGCAGATCAAGCTGGGCTTTATGTGCTCTGCTGGATCAGCCAGGGGAGCAGGGACCCTTAAAACTTCTCCTGGTTTGCACCTCTGGGCTCCTGCAGCTGTTCCAGATGTGCTCAGCCAGAAGCTCTGCTCACAGGCAGGATTTCAGAGGTCCTGCAGCCACCAGCTCGTTCCTGAAGCCACGAAGGAAGTGTGACATCTCTCATCTGGGAGGGGACCTGGGCTTGCTGGTGGATATTTCCTGACTTTTCCACCCCAATTCTCTTTGGCAGGTTCAAGAAATACAAGCAGGCAGGGAGCCACTCCAACTCCTTCCGTCTGTCCAACGGCCGCACCGACGACACAGGTGAGTCCTCCTGCTGCCACACAGGGTCCCCCCCACCTGGTGTTACTGTAGGCAGATATTTTTTTAATTTCTGTTTTGTCCTTGTTGTTTGCTGATCTCCTTTGTTCCACGTTTTCCATGATTTTGGCAGACTTCGGTAGAATGAAGGTTTATTTCTCCCAGCTTTCGTTCCGCTGAGTGTTTGCCCTCAAGTGGTTGATATTAAAATGGGTGATCACTTCCAAAATCACTACTCACATTCCTCTTGAGTTTTCACGGTGTTTCTTTGACTCAAATGAGAACCTTTTTTGAAAAAAAAACACATCTTTGGTAAATAATTAAACATTCTTTTGCTCTTTCAGATTAGGAGAGTCTTTGATTAAAACTCAGATCTTCACGCTGTCTGTGGACACCAAAATAACATTTCCAGGAGAATACACTTATTTTCATTACCAAAACATTTTTGTGCCTCCTAAACATGCACAAATGCAGTTTTCAAGCCTTGTGTAATGTCTAAATTCTTCTGTCCATGAGCTGTGAGCCAGAGCTGACATTGAGGGTCTGAAGTTGGGCATCTCCATCCATGTGTAGGCACTGATTAAAATCTGAGGAGACCTCTTAAACTCAGTTCAGTTGCTTTTTCAGCACTCCTTTCACATAAACCAAACACCTTCTGAGAAGCACTAACTGGAATTCAGCACCTTTTTTATTTTATGTTGGCTGCTAAGACCTTCCCTGCCCGTCTTACATCACTGTGAACAGAGGTGTGAACCTCAGCTGTGTTGGTGTAACCCTCACACAGCTTTTCTGGGCTTTGCTGAGCAGCACAAGCAGCCTTTGCTGTGCCCTCCTGGGAATTGTGCCACGGTGGTGGTGCCAGACTTTGCATGTGAGAGAGGGAGAAGTTGGAATTCAGAGCAAGGTGGTCTCCAACCCCAGTATTGGCTTGGTCCTCAGTGCCCTGTCCTGCCTCTGTGAGAGTGCAGATGCAAGAGTGTTAATCATTATAGGATCACTGATTTTTTGGAGGCTGGAAAAGCCCTTTAAGATCATCCAGTCCAACCATTCCCCCAGCACTGCCAAGGCCACCCATGTCCCCAAGTGCCACATCCACATGGCTTTTAAATCCCTCCAGGGATGGGGATTGCACCACTGCCTTGGGCAGCTGTGCCAGGGCTGTAGAGCCCTTTCCATGAAGAAATTTCCCCAAATATCCAATCTAAACCTCCCCTGGCCCAGCCTGAGGCCGTTCCCTCTCCTCCTGTCCCTGTTCTTGGAGCAGATCCCAAATCCTCCCCGGCTGTCCCCTCCTGTCAGGGAGTTGTGCAGAGCCACAAGGTCCCCCCTGATCCCCCTTTTCTCCAGGCTGAGCCCCTTTCCCAGCTCCCTCAGCTGCTCCTGGGGCTCCAGACCCTTCCCCAGCTCTGTTCCCTTCCCTGGACTCTCTCCAGCCCCTCAAGACCTTTTTGTGAGAGGCCCAGAAGTGCCCCCAGCACTGGAGGTGCCCCAGTAGGGCCAGCACAGGGGACAGGCACTGCCCTGGCCCTGCTGCCACCCCAGTGCTGCCACCATTGTGTCATTGTGCTCAGAGCAGCCTGGTCTGGTGGCAGCTGTTGGAACAAGACGATCACACAATTCCGTGAATTCTTTGTGATCTCTTAACATCCCCTCCAACCCAACCCGTGCACACGGGGTGCCCGCGCTCACCTGGGTGTGGGTGGGCAGTGCTGGGCACAGGGGACACCTGGTGGCCCCTGTGACCCCCTGTGTCATTGCAGAGCCTCAGAGCATGCCCCTGCTCGCCCGCTCCCCCAGCACCAACCGCAAGTACCCCCCCCTGCCCGTGGACAAGCTGGAGGAGGAGATCAATCGCCGCATGGCCGATGACAACAAGCTCTTTCGGGAGGAGTTCAACGTGAGTGCCTCTGCTGCTGCTGCTGCCCTCACACCCCACATTCTGCCCTCTGGCTCTGGGTTAGGATCTGGTTCTCCAAGGGCTGGCAGGGCTGATTCTGTCCCTGAATATGTGGGGAGGGTGGGTAAGCTGTTCACACTCCTGCTCACGGCAGGAAACAAAGGGTTTCTGGCAAGCAGCTCTGCAGAGTTACATTTTCCTGGGTTCGGGTTTAGGATCTGGCTCTCAAGGGCTGAGCAGTAGCAGGGCTGATTCTGTCCCTGGATCTATGGGGAGGGTGGGTAAGCTGTTCACCCTCATGCTCATGGCAGAAATTAGAGGGTTTTTAGCAAATAACTCTTCACAGTTATATTTTCCTGGGTTCAGGAATGATCCTGGATGTCTTGGGGTCTTCCAGAGCTCTCCTACTTTCTGGTTGCCTCCCAAGCTCTTCCTCCCATTCCTCATGGCTTTAAATCCACAAACAGCCAAAAAAAATCTTTGAGCAGAGAAACAGGAATGACCCCATCTTATTTCAATGAGCTCTTAACCCTGAAACACAGTGATGACAATGTATGGGACAAAGGCTGGCCTTCAGCTGTGAGGAATTCAGGTATTGTGCTTGTCCCAGATGGGCTTCAGGGATGGCCACAACCCCTTCTTGACATTGCTGAGCTTTGCAGCTTGGGACAATAAATCTGTTTTGCCTTGTCAATACAAGAATAGAATAGAATAGAATAGAATAGAATAGAATAGAATAGAATAGAATAGAATAGAATAGAATAGAATAGAATAGAATAGAATAGAATAGGTTCATTAAGGTTGGAAAAGCCCTCCAAGATTATCAAGTCCAGCCATTCTCCAGCACTGCCAAGACCACCACTGACCCATGTCCCCAAGTGCCACATCCACACTTTTTTTTGACAATTTCAAGGGTGGGGACTCCAGCACTGCCTTGGGCAGCCAGTGCTGGAGCTTGACAACTCTTTCTGTGAAAATATTTTTCCTAAACATCCAATCTAAACCTCCCCTGGCCCAGCCTGAGGCCGTTCCCTCTCCTCCTGTCCCTGTTCCCTGGCAGGGACCCCGGCTGTCCCCTCCTGTCAGGGAGTTGTGCAGAGCCACAAGGTCCCCCCTGATCCCCCTTTTCTCCAGGCTGGACCCCCTCAGCTGCTCCTCATCAGACCTGTGCTCCCAGCCCAGGTCCAAGCCATGATATGGCACCATGAGAACAAGGAGAAGATAAAAAAAAGCCACTTGACTTTGTCCAGCTGCTACAAAACTTGATCCCTTTCCTGGCCGTGCTGCAGTGAAACCAAATAGGTGCAGTGAGTGCCCAGGGAGGGGGATTTTTAGGGTTATAAATACCTGATTGCCCTGGACACTTCCTGCTATCCTGTCAGCTGGAGGAAGCGTTGCTGGATACCTCCAGAACATTCTTTGCTATTCAAAGAGGATGTGGAATAACAGTGCTGGGGAAGCACCTCCTGTGTTTGACTGGGAAATCCAGGGACAGTGTCCCTTGTCACCCCAGTACTAAGGTCCCCTGGTGCTGCCCCTGCCATCACTGGGTGGGCTGGGGCAGTGGGGGCTTAATCAGATCACAATTAGCAGCACTGTTAATGAGGGAATCTCACCGGAGCCTCTGTGGACAGGAATCAGGAATGAGCTCGTCGGTGCTGCCGGGTGGGCTCGGAGCTGGAGGCTTTGCTGCCACCTCGTGTCCATGGATCAGGAGATTCCAGACATCTTTCCAAAGGGATTGGCTCTCTCTGGTCCAGCCCAGATAATTAAATGGTCACTTTGAGCTCGCTGGGGAGGAGGAGCTGCTGCTGGGGGTGGAGGTGAGGGCTGTGGGTGGTGGGACATGTCCGGAGGGGCAGGATGCTCGGATTGCCAGCACGTTGTTCCTGTTGTGCCATGAAGACATCATGGAAAATCCATTTTTTTCTGCCATTTCAGGCTCTCCCAGCGTGTCCCATACAGGCCACGTGTGAAGCTGCTTCCAAGGAGGAGAACAAGGAGAAGAACAGATATGTGAACATTTTGCCCTGTACGTGTCAGAGCTGGTTGGATGAGGGGGAAACACTCAGGGGCTTCTGCCAGGACTCCCCATTCCTGGTTTTGGGATGGGCAAGGGCACAGTTTGAGGGCATTTCACCTCTCTGGTGGGTGGCTGTGTCTGCTTTAGCATTAGATACCTGTGAGGAGAAACTCAGCCAGGCCATGGAGAGTGAAATGAATGGGAAATGCCAGAAGGGACAACTCTTGCCTGGTGGCAATGGGCTGGCTTAGAGTGTCCTCAGATATGCCCTCTGCAGAAGGAAAACTACCTTGGGCAAGATCTAGGACCTCTCTGGGTTTAAGCAAGAGGAATTTGGGGCCATCAAGATGTTTTTGCAGCGGGGCCAGGAGCGTGGGCTCCACTGCAGCACCTGGATTCTCATCACACCAGGTACCAGCAGAGTGGAGGGGCTTGTCTTTAATGCAGAGTTTTCATTTCCCTCCAGATGATCATTCCAGGGTTCACCTGACTCCCGTGGAAGGGGTCCCTGACTCCGACTACATCAATGCCTCCTTCATTAATGTGAGTTTTGGGATGTGAAGGGGAAATCCCCACAGGAGCAAAGCTGCTTTGGAAAGGGCAGGGGAACCACTCATGCTGGGGCTGGGCATTTCTGATCAACAAATAGCTGATGAATCATAGAATTTTTGAGGGTGGAAAAACCCTCTAAGACCCACAAGTCCAACCATTCCCCCAGCACTGCCAGACCAGCACTAAACCATGTCCCCAAGTGCCACATCCACATTGTTTTAAATCCTTGAAGAGTGGGGCCAGTTGATCATCAGTGCTTCCCAGCTTGCAGGGCTGGATGTGGGAAGGGGATGAAGAAGAAATCAAGGACTCCAGCTAAAATGGAAGCAACATTGCCCTGCTCTGCCCCTGGGAGGAGATGGGTCCTTTGTGGTTGTCACCACGTGGCTCCAGTCAGCTGCAAGGGTCATGTGAGAGATGCAGGCACATGAAGCAAAGCAAGACTCAGAAGAGCTTTTTCCTTTCCTCTTCAGTAAATAAAATACACAAAATCAATCCCTGTGAGTTCTACAGCCCTTTTTCCAAGGATCAGTGCTGATTTTCACGTGATGCTCTGGATGCAGGGTCTGACTCCAGTGGAAGGGCTGTCACCACTTCATTAATGCCTTGTGCCAGCAAGTGGGGTCATTCCTGCTTTATGTGAGCCTGGGGAGTGTTCCTGTGGGAAAACAGCCCTCTACACAAGGATTTTCAATTATTTCAGCCCATCTTTGGAGCTGAATCTCCCCTCAGAGGCTGCAGCTCCTTCTCTACACAAGAGAGAATGAGCAGCAGAGCAGATGCCAGCTCTCTTTGTTCCTGAAATAGATGCATCTCATGACTCTTGTGTCAGAGAAATACTCATTTCTCTTCCTTTTTCTTCTTTTCTTGCAGGGGTACCAAGAGAAAAACAAGTTCATTGCTGCACAAGGTAAATTCTTGACTATTCCCATTGCTCTCTTGGGGGCAGCTGGGCTGGGTCCCTCTGCTCAGTGAAGCTGTGCCCCCTCTACCCAGAGCACAGCATCTTGCAGAGCTCCCCTGGTCAAAAGGAGGCCTGGCTGCTCCACAGATTGTTCCCACAATGATTTTCCCAGTCAAAGAGCAGTGCTGGGTGTCTTGGTGGACAGAGAGAAGTCCCACCTGTGCAATCCCATTGCTGGAGGGTGTTGTGACCTCTGGAAATACTGCCAGGGAGCTGCTTAATTAAATTCCCTAAATCACAGAATCATGGAATGGTTTGGGCTGGAAAGGAACTCCAAGCTCATCTCATTCCACCCCTGCCATGGACAGGGACACCTCCCACTGTGCCAGGTTGCTCCAAGCTCCCTTGAACATTCCCAGGGATGGGATAAAGAGAAATGTCCTTGTGATCTTCAGAAGTCCAAACACATCCCAAAAACCAAAATTCCCACTCACAGAGTGGGGATCATGTCAGCAACAGGATGATGCTGCCCATGGGAGTGTTTTGTATTTCCTCTCTTGACCTGCCAGTGGGTCAGGGCATTCCTGGCCAGTTTCCCTGGCTCTGGCTGGAGAAGGAGGCTGGATCAGGTCTGGCAGCACTTCCAGGCTCAGGTTAAGCTTTGGCTCTGCTGCTCTCTTGGCTCACCCTGGGCCTCAGGCTTGGCAAGGGAGTGTAGGCTCAGTTAGCTTTGTGTCTGGCAGGCAGCAGGGAATTATTCCTGTGCCACACTGCAATGGGATCCCATGGCTAAAATCCAAAATCCCAGGGCAGGACTTCTGCAGACTCTGGGACAGCCACAATTTCCCTGGGTGACCTTGGGCAAGTCCATGTTCTGTTTGGTTTCCCCTTCTTGAGCTAAATATGGAATTCCTGACCATAAAACAAACCCAAAAATTCCAACTATTGTGTGATAGGATTATTCCTTGCATCAGGCATGCCCAGACACCACAGCACCTCCTGTGACCTATTGGCAAAAAACGTCTTGGGCCATCGGTGACGTGTGACCTCACACGCTGGGTTTTGGCCCCAGATTGTGAGAGGTTGATCCCAAAGAGGACTTTTTGTTTTACCTTCCCCTCAGGACCAAAGGAAGAAACAGTGAACGATTTTTGGAGAATGATTTGGGAGCAAAACACAGCGACCATTGTCATGGTGACCAACCTGAAGGAGAGGAAGGAGGTCGGTGCCAGAAGATTTCACAGGCTGGGATTTGACCCAAATTGGGCATGTCCTGGAGCCATCCCCAGCCTTGTGAGGGTGTCCAGAGCTCACCTGCACCTGTTTTTTTCCCCCCCACAGTGTAAATGTGCTCAGTACTGGCCAGATCAGGGCTGCTGGACCTACGGGAACATCCGAGTGTCCGTGGAGGACGTGACCGTGCTGGTGGATTACACCGTGCGCAAGTTCTGCATCCAGCAGGTGCCAGGGGTCACCTCCCCATCCCATCC